TGGAAAACCCTTTCCCTTGACGCAGAGCAGCACCATTTTCCCTTTCCGTTGTCGGTAAACAGGGTTTCCCGATTTTCAGTTTGCCGGGACAGCCATCTGTCGTTTCTTGCTTACACTGAGAAGTTTCCCCCCCTGTGTGACACGTTCCCCGGGAAACTCCCAGCAGCATGAGGAGGGGGTAAGGGGCCCATGGCGATTTGGGCCGGGGCAGCAGCTTTGGGAGGCCCTAATCTGCCAGCCCCCCTTGCAAAAAAGGGAAACACACCAGCGTGTGGGAGCCCTGAAAGTGGCACAGGGCAGAGTGGGGGTTTTTGGAGACGCAGAAATGGGAGGCCGTACAGGGCCCATGAGAATTTGGCCCTGGCAGCAGCATGAGGAGGCGGTTTTAGGGGCCCATGGCGATTTGGGGCCCGGGGCAGCAGCTATGGGGGCCCCGTATCTGCCAGGCGGTAAAGGGGGCCCCATGGCAGAAATTAGGGGCCTGGGCAGCATCAATGGGAGGCCCGTAATCGCTGGCCATCACCCCTATGACAAAAAAATGGAACACACCAGCATTGTGAGGACGAACCCCTCCCTGCCTGAAAGTGGCACATGGGCCATGAGAACACAAACTGGACCCCCCTGGACCCTGGCAGCAGCATGATTGAGGCGGCGGTACATGGGGCCCATTGGCAGATTAGGTGGGCCTGGCAGGCAGCTATGGGAGGCCCCGTAATCTGCCAGCACCCTATGACAAAAAATGGAACACACCACAGTGTGTGAGGAGACCTGAAAGTGGCACATGGCAGAGTGTGGCGATGGAGACAGCAGCAAGGGGGAGGCCGTAACAGGGACCCCATGGGAGACTCTGGACTTCGCAGCAGCATGAGGAGGCGGTATAGGGGCCCATGGCAGATTAGGGGCCTGGCAGCAGCTATGGGAGGCCCGTAATCTGCCAGCACCCTATGATCAAAAAAATTGAACACACCAGCAGTGTGTGAGGAGACCTGAAAGTGGCACATGGCAGAGTGTGGCGATGAGACAGCAGCAATGGGAGGCCGTACAGGGACCCATGAGAGACTCTGGACTTCGCAGCAGCATGAGGTATACAGGGGCCCATGGCAGATTAGGGGGCCTGGCAGCAGCTATGGGAGGCCCGTAATCTGCCAGCACCCTATGTCAAAAAAAATTGAACACACCAGCAGTTGTGTTAGGAGACCTGAAAGTGGCACATGGCAGAGTGTGGCGATAGAGACAGCAGCAATGGGAGGCCGTACAGGGACCCATGAGAGACTCTGGACTTCGCAGCAGCATGAGGAGGCGGTATAGGGGCCCATGGCAGATTAGGGGCCTGGCAGCAGCTATGGGAGGCCCGTAATCTGCCAGCACCCTATGACAAAAAATGGAACACACCAGCAGTGTGAGGAGACCTGAAAGTGGCACATGGCATGAGACACTGGACCTGGCAGCAGCATGAGGAGGCGGTACAGGGGCCCATGGCAGATTAGGGGCCTGGCAGCAGCTATGGGAGGCCCGTAATCTGCCAGCACCCCTATGACAAAAAATGGAACACACCAGCAGTGTGTGAGGAGACCTGAAAGTGGCACATGGCAGAGTGTGGCGATGGAGACAGCAGCAATGGGAGGCCGTACAGGGACCCATGGGAGACTCTGGACTTCGCAGCAGCATGAGGAGGCGGTATAGGGGCCCATGGCAGATTAGGGGCCTGGCAGCAGCTATGGGAGGCCCGTAATCTGCCAGCACCCTATGACAAAAAATGGAACACACCAGCAGTGTGTGAGGAGACCTGAAAGTGGCACATGGCATGAGACACTGTGGACCTGGCAGGCACAGCAGCTGAGGGAGGCGTACAGGGGCCCATGGCAGATTAGGGGCCTGGCAGGGAGGGGGGCAGCAGCAGCTATGGGAGGCCCGTAATCTGCCAGCACCCTATGACAAAAAATGGAACACACCAGCAGTGTGTGAGGAGACCTGAAAGTGGCACATGGCAGAGTGTGGCGATGGAGACAGGCAGCAATGGGAGGCCGTACAGGGACCCATGAGAGAGTCTGGACTTCGCAGCAGCATGAGGAGGCGGTACAGGGGCCCATGGCAGATTAGGGGCCTGGCAGCAGCTATGGGAGGCCCGTAATCTGCCAGCACCCTATGACAAAAAATGGAACACACCAGCAGTGTGTGAGGAGACCTGAAAGTGGCACATGGCAGAGTGTGGCGATGGAGATAACCCACCGACTGTTTTGCTCGCTGCCAAGCTGCCACCCTCTTCTCCTGATGATGCGGAAGCAATAGCCTGATGACGACGAGGCTGCCAAGTGCGATCAGCCTCATCATCATCAATTAGGGTCTCCGCCTCACTACTAGCCCCCTCGGCTGCGTGTGGGTCAGGAGACAGACCTGTCTCTAGACCGGCTACCGAGCCACTCTCCTCGCCACTACTTCTTCGCCTGGCTGCTGAAGAGGCGGATGTCTCCCCCCGTTCCTGACCGCCCTCTGTTAGCTCTTCATCACTGTACTGGATGACACCGGGAGCACTGGCCTCTGGCTGCGAATAGTGCTGCCTCGACCCCTTCCTCTGCTGCCATGTCTGCTCGCTCCTAAAACATTGCCTCCTCTGCCACTCCTCTGCATGTTGTCTGACATACTCTTTAATTCAACGATTCTGTGTCCCTGAGTAACAATTCTGTGTCTGTCCCTGAGTAACAATTCTGTGTCCCTGAGTAATGTTTCTGTGGCCCTAAGTAACAGTTCTGTGGCCCTCAGTAACAATTCTGTGTCCCTCAGTAACAATTCTGTGTCCCTCAGTAACAATTCTGTGTCTGTCCCTGAGTAACAATTCTGTGTCTGTCCCTGAGTAACAATTCTGTGTCCCTCAGTAACAATTCTGTGTCCCTGAGTAACAATTCTGTGTCCCTGAGTAACAATTCTGTGTCTGTCCCTGAGTAACAATTCTGTGTCTGTCCCTAAGTAACGTTTCTGTTGCCCTAAGTAACGTTTCTGTGTCCCTAAGTAACGTTTCTGTGGCCCTAAGTAACGATTTCTGTGGCCCTCAGTAACAATTCTGTGTCCCTCAGTAACAATTCTGTGTCCCTGAGTAACAATTCTGTGTCTGTCCCTGAGTAACAATTCTGTGTCTGTCCCTGATTAACAATTCTGTGTCCCTGAGTAATGTTTCTGTGGCCCTAAGTAACAGTTCTGTGGCCCTCAGTAACAATTCTGTGGCCCTCAGTAACAATTCTGTGTCCCTCAGTAACAATTCTGTGTCCCTCAGTAACAATTCTGTGTCTGTCCCTGAGTAACAATTCTGTGTCTGTCCCTGAGTAACAATTCTGTGTCCCTCAGTAATAGTTCTGTGGCCCTCAGTAATAATTCTGTGTCCCTCAGTAACAATTCTGTGTCTGTCCCTGAGTAACAATTCTGTGTCTGTCCCTGAGTAACAATTCTGTGTCCCTCAGTAACAATTCTGTGTCCCTCAGTAACAATTCTGTGTCCCTGAGTAACAATTCTGTGTCCCTGAGTAACAATTCTGTGTCTGTCCCTGAGTAAGAATTCTGTGTCTGTCCTGAGTAACAATTCTGTGGCCCTAAGTAACGTTTCTGTGGCCCTAAGTAACGTTTCTGTGGCCCTAAGTAACATTTCTGTGGCCCTAAGTAACGGTTCTGTGTCCCTCAGTAACAATTCTGTATCCCTCAGTAACAATTCTGTGTCTGTCCCTAAGTAACGTTTCTGTGGCCCTAAGTAAAGTTTCTGTGGCCCTAAGTAACGTTTCTGTGTCCCTAAGTAACGATTCTGTGTCCCTAAGTAACGATTCTGTGGCCCTAATTAACGTTTCTGTAGCCCTAAGTAACGTTTCTGTGGCCCTAAGTAACGTTTCTGTGGCCCTAAGTAACGGTTCTGTGGCCCTCAGTAACAATTCTGTGGCCCTCAGTAACAATTCTGTGTCTGTCCCTAAGTAACAATTCTGTGGCCCTAAGTAACGTTTCTGTGGCCCTAAGTAACGTTTCTGTTGCCCTAAGTAATGATTCTGTGGCCCTAAGTAATGTTTCTGTGGCCCTCAGTAACAAATCTGTGTCCCTCAGTAACAAATCTGTGTCCCTAAGTAACGTTTCTGTGGCCCTAAATAACGGTTCTGTGGCCCTAAGTAACGGTTCTGTGGCCCTCAGTAAGAATTCTGTGTCCCTCAATAACAATTCTGTGTCTGTCCCTGAGTAACAATTCTGTGGCCCTAAGTAACGTTTCTGTGGCCCTAAGTAACGGTTCTGTGGCCCTCAGTAACAATTCTGTGTCCCTCAATAACAATTCTGTGTCTGTCCCTAAGTAACAATTCTGTGGCCCTAAGTAACGATTCTGTGGCCCTCAGTAACAAATCTGTGTCCCTCAGTAACAATTCTGTGTCTGTCCCTAAGTAAAAATTCTGTGGCCCTAAGTAACGTTTCTGTGGCCCTAAGTAACGGTTCTGTGGCCCTCAGTAACAATTCTGTGTCCCTCAATAACAATTCTGTGTCTGTCCCTAAGTAACAATTCTGTGGCCCTAAGTAACGTTTCTGTGGCCCTAAGTAACGATTCTGTGGCCCTCAGTAACAAATCTGTGCCCCTCACTAACAATTCTGTTTCTGTCCCTAAGTAACAATTCTGTGGCCCTAAGTAACGATTCTGTGGCCCTCAGTAACAAATCTGTGTCCCTCAGTAACAATTCTGTGTCTGTCCCTAAGTAACAATTCTGTGGCCCTAAGTAACGTTTCTGTGGCCCTAAGTAACGATTCTGTGGCCCTCAGTAACAATTCTGTATCCCTTAGTAACAATTCTGTCTGTCCCTAAGTAACAATTCTGTGTCCCTAAGTAACGTTTCTGTGGCCCTAACTAACGATTCTGTGGCCCTAAGTAAACGTTTCTGTGGCCCTATGTAACGTTTCTATGGCCCTAAGTAACGATTCTGTGGCCCTAACTAACGTTTCTCTGTCCCTAAGTAACGTTTCTCTGTCCCTAACTCTCTCCCTGCATACAGCCAGGTCTGCCTCTGTTGAATGACTGGAGGCAAATGGAGAATTCTAAAATGGCCGCTATTTATAGCTCGACCATTACACTGTGCTGGCTGGCTGGCTGCTGATTGGCTAATGCGATCACATGTCATGAATGAATGCATTATGGGTCAGCGCGCCTTGTCTGCGCGCCTTCCCAGACATCCCCGCTCCGTCGCCGCACATGTCGCCGCCATTTTAGGAAAAATTTCGATTCGCGCATCCGAAGTCTGCTTATTTTCGGATTCGACGCGAATCGAAATTTTCCTAATATTCGAAACGAATTCCACTTCGCCTACTTCGATTCGCTCATCTCTAGTGACAATGCTCCTCATCCAAAGACACAGTAAGCTGAGTGAGAGTTGTCACCTTAGGAGGACGGGAAGTGTGTTACTGGCAGGGTCTCTAGGTGCAATTAAAAGGAAAATAGCTTTTGAAAAATAATGCAACCAAAACAGATGATGGCTGGTAAGCTGCAATATATTGCAATGCTTTCTTTTAGGCTCAGATGCACTTTACGCAGTGAGTATTTTTTATGAAATATATTTTGTTCTCAATATAGCAGACAATGAGAGTTGAAGCGTGCATCAGGAGCTCTAAATATTTCAAAACAATTTTTATTCATTTTAATTTCTTCTGCAGCTCAGAAAACAGCTGAAGTAGACCTTTCCTGAGAGACTGGCTCATTCGGCTAAACTAAAGAATGACTATTGTTTAAGTACACAAAAGACCTCCGGAAAACTTTAGTGTCACCACATATGGTTATCCAATTTGAAAAGCAATTTGAGTCCCTGGATGCCTGTACTTCTTATGCAGATAAACATTTTCCATTATATTCTTAATCAGAATCATATTTATAAAGCATCAGCATACAGTGTGAAATGACGAGGCTAGGTTCGTGGATTTAATGATAACAAACATCCATGGGCCTTTCTGTACAAAAATATCTTAATGGAACATTTTAGTCTCTTTTACGTGAAATAAATATATAAAATGTTTATCAGCTTAATATAACATTGATAACACATGGTAATGTATTTTATATACCGTATATTCATGTACTGTATATAGTGAGGAACAGAAGTATTTGAACACCCTGTGATTTTGCAAGTTCTAGGGGTCTGAAATTCACATTGTAGGTGCATTCCCACTCTGAGAGACAGAATTTAAAAAAAATTCAGGAAATCACATTGTATGATTTTTTAAAGAATTTATTTGTCTTGCACTGCTGAACATAAGTATTTGAACACCTAAAAAACAGCAAGAATTCTGGCTCTCAAAGACCTGTTACTGTGCCTTTAAAAAGCCCACCTCTACTCCACTCATTAATCTAACCTAGTAGCACCTGTCTGAGCTCTTTAAAGACACCTGTCCACCCCACAGTCAGTCAGACGCCAACTACTACCATGGGCAAGACCAAAGAGCTGTCAAAAGACACCAGAGACAAAATTGTGGACCTCCACAAGGCTGGAAAGGGCTACAGGGCAATTGCCAAGCAGCTTGGTGAAAATAGATCAACTGTTGGAGCAATTGTTAGAAAATGGAAGAGGCTAAAGACGACTGTCAGTCTCCCTCGGACTGGGGCTCCATGCAAGATCTCACCTCGTGGGATAGGACTGATGATAAGAAAGATGAGGAATCAGCCCAGAACTACA